ATAAAGAATATACTAATATAATAATTATTATAAACCATTTAAAAAAAGAAACAATATTTGAGACTATAGTAAATACTATAATAGAAATAATAATAAAGTAGTTTATAAGAATTTATTATTACTAATATAAGCTTTCAAGAATAATAGTTTTTAATTAGAAAAGGTAATTTATAAAAGTATTATAAACTAGAATATATAAATTATTAGATATTATTTATTAATTATTTATAATATATTATTCTAAAATAAATAAGGTTATAAAAAGAATAAACTAGATAATTGAAATCTTTTTTTATATTTTTATAAATTATAATTAAATAAACTAGATAACTTTCTTATTATATATTAAGCTAGTAATTAATAATTAAAATGCCTTATTTATTAAATTTAGTTTATTCTTTTTATATTATAAATACTATATTAAGCTAATATAACTTTAGAATAAAGTTAGTAAAAAAGATAAAAAACTATTATTTATTTAAATAATAAATAATATTATATATAAGTTATAATAATAATAATCTAGTAATTTTAAGAAGAAATAGTAAACTAAAAAGAAATTAGATTCCTGAATTTAAAGTTAGAAGTAAAGTCTAGCTTAATTTCTAAAATATTCGAATAAATAAGCTAATTAAAAAGTTTAATATAACGAGTCTGGTTATATAGGTCTATATATATAGGCTTTATATATTAAAAACCAGGAAATTAATATATAACTATAGTATTTAATTAGGAGTAGACTATCTGCAGTACTCTATTAATATATATATCTAATATTCCTGCTTTAAAACCAAAGAATTTATCTATTCCTATAGAATATAAGCCTATTCCTTTAAAACTATTATTTCTATCTTAGCCTCTATAGTAGGTTACTACTAGTATCTATATAATGCCTGCTTAATCCTCCTCTAGCACTTTTTAATTGGGTTTATATTAGGGCTTATAGAGAGGTAAGGTATAAGGATAATTCTATAAGTAGTATACTATTTAATATAGTAGTTTCGGATTAACTTATAGCTATAAGCTGAGTTATTATCCTCTATAAATAAAGGCTCGGTAACTGGGTAAAGTAGGTAAGTTATTATAGTAAAAGCCTCAAGAATCGGCTAGAGGTATATCTCGAGGATCTGTACTAAATAATCTGTCTGAATAAAGGCTTCTGTCTTACTAGACTTATAGAGGAATATTAAGGAACTCTTATAGCTATATCTAATTACTTCTCAGGTATAGACAGGTATTATATGCCCCCGGTAAAACTGGTATTATATATAAGTAGAATGGGTTCGCTTACTCTTATTTCTTATTACTTTATATTTTACTATTTTCTCCCTAACTAAGAATATAACCTCATCTGACTATAGTACCTTTAGCTACTTCTTTATCTAAAATATATATATAATTGCCTAAAGAAATCGGCCAAGGACTTATACTACCGTAAGATAAGGCTTCTAGTAAGCTATATACCTGAAATAGTCTTATTAATAGAATTATTATTAAAGAGTAGAAGTCGTAATATTAAGTTTGAGCTCTAGAACTAAGTATTTATAGTCTAGGTAATACTATTCGTAATTCTCGGAGTAATATTCGATAATTATATCGACTTGCGTATTACTAAGCTTCTTTACTAGGCTTATCCAATTAGGGCGCTTATATTTAGGCTTCTTATATACGAGGATTCGATTAATTATAGTATTGCCGAGGCGGTAGTATTTCTAGAGCTGAAGTTTTAGTACCTTTCCAAACTAGTATAACTAGCGGATAGCTTCCTTATATTTTATAGGAATCTTATAGCCCTTTTAGTAGTCAAAATCGAATAGGGGAGTAGAAGCCATAATTTAGGTGTTTTTGGTTGGTTTTTGGTAGGTGAACCTTATTAAAGGGAGCCTGTATATATAGACCTATACTATTAGACTTATAAAGTATATTAAATATATAATAATTAAGATAATAGAAAGCTATAGTTTTTAATTTAATATTTTTTTAGAAATATATAATATATTTTATAATAAGCTTCTTTAGCTAACTATAATAAATCTGCTATTATATTAGTTTTAAGATAATTTATAATTATAATTATAATTTATAAATAAAAAAAACAAATATAAGATTAAATAAATTCTTAATAAAAGATATATAAGATATAGTTAAGAGCTTTTAAAAAAGCTATTTATAAAATAAAAGAGTTATATATATTTTATATAGAAATTATATTCTATATTTAAGGAAATAATAATATTAGAAGCTTAAAAAGCAATTATTTAATAGAAAGAAGTTTTACTTATATATTTATAGAACTAGTATTTATAAATAAAAAAGAAAATAATATAATAAATTAAGACCCGTTTTATATATTTAGCTAAAAGCCTTTATTAAATTATATAATAAAAACCAGAGCCTTTATTTATAACGTGCCTTTTTAAGTTAATAAAATAATTATATATTATTTAAAAAACTCGAATATTTTAAGAAATATAATTCTGCTTTTTTATTTTTATTTTTATTTTTATTTTTATTTTTATTTTTATTTTTATTTTTATTTTTGTTTTTATTTTTATTTTTGTTTTTGTTTTTTAGTTTTTATTTTTATTTTTCATTTTTAGAGAATTCTATTTAGTTAATTAAATTACTAGTCTTTTTTATATAAAGGCTTGACCTATAATATTAATTTTTATTTCTTAATTCTAGTTCCTATATATTATAATTTTATATTATAAAAGTTTTTTTTTTATATATTATTATTTGTTTTATATTTCTATTATAATATATTTTTCTAATAAAATAGTTATATTATATATATTATTATATAATTAGAAAATAATAAAATATAAGTAATAAAATAAAAATAATAAAATATAAATAATTATTAAATAATTATATTAGCTAATAAAATTAAAAGTTGAATTATAATAAAATTAAGAAATATTAAATTAATTAGCTAAAAAGTTAAAAAAGAATTAAAAAAATAAGTCAAAATAAGCTATAAAATATTATATAATATAAGAAATATAATTATTTGAATTTTAAACTTATTATTTATTATATTATAACTAGTTTTAGGTTTTATTTATAATTTTTCTTTTAATTTTAATTTTAAATACCTTTTCTTAAATAAATAATAAGTATAAAACTTTTATATATTTTAAAAAAAATTAAAATTATATATAAAGCAAGTTTTATTTAAATATTATTAATATTCTAGAAATTAAAAGAAATTAGAAAAGTAGGACTTTTAATATTTTTTTAATTTAAGCGAAATCTAAAGCTAGCTATAATATAACTAATAGCTAATAATAATTAAAATTCGGCCTTTTTAAATAAAGACATTTCTAATAACTAGCTAAATATTATAAAATTAAATATTTCTAGTTTTAATTTCTTAATCTAATATTTTAGTTATTAAATATATTATAACAAAAATCTTATTAGCTAATTTAGTTTTAGCTTTTAAATATATTATTATATGGCACTAGTCACGTGGTGCTACTATACGTGACTTAGCGTATAGCCAGTACTTTTAGCCGGATATATAGCCTTTAGCTTAATTTAAGCTCTTTACTACTACTATAATATTATCTTATTATAATATATATTATATAAATCTTTAAATGACTTTAAAGTTATTATTATTATTATTATTTAAAGGCTTTTAAAAAGCTTTATTAAAAGTATTAAATAAATATATTTTTATTAATACTTTTATTAGAATTAATTTAATTAATTTTCTTTATAAAAGCAAAATTAATAAAAAATTATATATTTTATATATATAAAAAGCTCTAATAATACAAATATAATTTAGTAAATTATAAGCTTATAACTTATAAAATAAATAGTAATATAATAATAATATATATAAATTATAAATTTCTTTATTTAATAAATAAGGCTCATTATATATAATAAAGTCACGTGCGGCCTTGCACGTATTATAAAAGGTTATAAAGTTTCTTAAAACTTTATAATAAGATATTATATATAAAAAAATTAAATATTTCTTTAAAACTTTAATAATTTATAATTAATTATTAAATTAAGCCAGGATTTTAAATGGATTTTAGAAAGTAATTAAAGAAATAATTATTATAAAAAAAAAAATAAAGCTTTTATTATATAAAACTTTAAATAATTTTAATAAATATAAAAGTACTCGAGTTTATATTTAAAAGAAATAAATTAATAAATAAAATACTAAGCTTAATTAAGTAAATACTTGCCTTTATATTTAATACTTCTTTTTCTTAATAATTAATTAAAAGCTTTGCTTTTCTTAATTAATTCTTTAATATAATAATAATTATTTATTATTACTAAAATATAAATTTAAGTAATAATAAGCTAATAATAATACTTTTATATTAAATTATAATAAATTATAAATAAACTTTAAAAAGTATTAATAAAAGTAATAGTTTTATAAAAAGTAATTCTTATTATTTAAAAGAAAAAGTAAAGTTTTATTAATAATATAAATAATAAATATAAACTTTTAATTCTAATTTAAAAATTTATCTTTTTATTATTAGATTTTTTCTTTTTTAATTTCGCTTATAAAAATTTTTTCTCTTTTAATATAATATTATTAAAGGCTTAATTAATTATTCATTATAAGTTCTTCTAATATTATATATTTTATATAATTTTTTCTTATAATAAATAAGTATTATATAAGGAAATAAGCCTCGAGTATAAATAAAGCTATAAAAAATATACTTTACTCTTTTTTAATTCAAGTATTTCGTGTAATTAGAAAACCTTATATAAGTTAATTAATTTATAAATACCGAGAATAATAAAGTATAAAGTAAAATAAAGAAAACTAGTTTTAAATAAAAATAATAAATTTATAGATTTCGAATTAGTTATAATATAAGTAATAAAACTATTATAAAATATATAATTTTAATTCTTTGCTTCTATTCTTTTAAGCTATTTAATTACTTCTTTATAATACTGTAAGATATTTACCTTTCTTTTAGATAAGTCATTAATTATTATATAGCTTAGACAAGCTCAAAAGTCTCAATTTTCACGCCACGCTTTTCCAAAGCTTCCGGAAGTAGGCGTGGATCGGAGTTCCAAACTTCTCTAGTAAGTTTATTTCTGAACCGCCCAAAGAGTAATGGATCATCCTGTGTTCGCACAGCTTCAAGCTCTTCCCAATGTGATGGCAATGCCTCCAGTCGTGGATCTTCGTGAGTACTCTCACCCGTTAAGGAATTGATGAAGTAAATCTTGTCATAGCCGTTGGAGTCAAGCTTTATTCGCACTTTCCAAGGCGATAGTAAAGGTCCCAGAAGAGCCTCTCCATCGGTAAATCCATGCAAAGAGGAAATGCCCACGACGCAGTACCTGTTCGAAGGCGCAGGTCGTAGAACAATCAGGAAAGCACATCCCAATATAGCGCATATAATATCGCCTGAAACACTGCATTAGCTTTCAGCCAGATTATTCCGTCGCTAGTCGTACCTGACTTTGTACTCGGTATCCCTAATCCAAAATATCCCTCTTCTGTGGTGATGAAAGCACGACTGCTCAGACGCCTCAGTATATTTCTGTTCCATGTTTCCCCATTTGACAAATCCTCCGTCTTCGTCATATCACCAAAAATATGGGACTTCACTTCCTGCAACGTGGGATACGAGCCAATTGTCGCATATCGATCTCGCAGTTCGTTCTCGGTAAGTGTCGATGCGAAAGCATCCAACAAGCTTTCACCAGTAACCTACGAACCGGTTTGTAGATTATCAGGCGCCCATCTTTGAATTGCCCCTGAAATATGAGCAGCTTGTCGCCCAACGGGATCGCAGACAAATGAGACAGTTGCGCAAAATATACCAGTTACTTGTAGCAAGTTGGGAGAAACAAATGTGGCATGCGCCCTTGAGAGAGAAGCTGCTGATGGAAGATTCCCATAAGCTGTTGGCTCAACCTCAAGATTAGACCAATCAGGTATCCATGATGAAAATTGCTCTTCCAGCTCTTCCTGCCACTTAGCATACCTGAGTGAGTCTAGCCGTTGCATTTGATCTAGCAAAAGAAGGAATATATCTCTGTACACAGTGCCAACGGGCGAAGAATATTGAGGCCGTACAGTAGCAGCCATTTTAGGTGAAGCCAAACCTAACAGCCCATACACCTTATCTCGAGGATCAACACAAAGTTGATATATAGACAGATAAATCAAGGAGTCAAAGTTGCTCTCCGGGAAGTATTCCATTAACCTATTTAGTTTCACGGCCTTATCAGAAAATTCCTGCAACGGTAATTCTGTCTTTTCTATAACGCATATTAACGCCCGACGAAACCGAGGCCAGGAAATTTCATTGTAACCGTACCGAATCATAGCGCGGTGATTTGTAAGGTGGATCTCTTACACTATCCACAGACGACCGAACCAGGGGCGGTTTATCAAATCATAGATAGTATTCCAAGCCTCCTGATTGTATGGAAGTCTGCATAATAGGTAATACCATATTAAATATGTAGTATTTGGCGAGTAATATCTCTAGTTGTCTTTTATACTCTTAACTTGAGCACCAAGATATTCTAGTATAGAGATTCCGAGCTTGCTATTATTTAATGTCGGTCCTAGCCAGATAACTATATAGTAAGCTAGCGTATAGATATCTGCTATTCGGGTTACTTAATTATTGCGCTCTGGAATATCCTCTTGGTTTATACAAATAGCATTAACGAAAAGGGTCCTTGGCTTGTTTTCATATTATAGATATCTTAGTACGGAGGTAAGATTTTCCTGTATCTGAAGCGTTAATGATTCCGTATCCTCGGATTTAATATATACGATCTCGGAATTTGCTTTTGTGCCCCACATATAGGATAATGCTTCGTAATTGGGACTGGACTCAGAAGATTCAGCTTTAGGAGGAAGCTCGTAAAATAACGGATTAATGTAGGTAAGTGGATATGCCCAAGAAGTATGGTCTGTTTCGTCGTATTAGAAGAGATATTGACCTTCGGTTATCTCGTAAGTACTTTAGCCGGAAGGAAGAGTCTCACGGATCTTCTGTAAAGACATTCATTGTACTAACTGGGTAGGAGGCTTGACGAGCGGTATATTCGAAATTTTGAGTCTGATATTGTCGTCTCGCCGGCCGGGCAATAAGTTAACCAGTCGGATATCTTTCGTCTTGTTCTCGAGTTTAGAGTATTAGTATAAAGTCATGTTTTAATAAGAAAATATAATCCATAAATATAATAAAGGTTTACGAAGGAAGTTTGCGAAAAGTAAAGGTAAGCGAAGGAAGAAAAAAAGGCTGAAATGCGGAGCGTACTTGGCATGCATATACTAATAATTAGCCTGTACTACCTGAACTAATAGACCTTATACACGTGTTCGAGTTACTATATAACACACTATCAGGGAGAAGTATTAGTCCTATAGAGCGGTGAGGAGTATAAGAAGATTATACTTTTTCGAATTCTAATATATATACTATTATTATAAGAATATAATTTATTTAAGGAAGCCATATATAATATCTAGCTTTTAAGTATTATGTATTTAATAATATATAATTATTTTAGTACCTAATTTATAGCTATTTAGCTATAATTTAATATCGAGTTATTAATAATATAATTTTAGTATAATAGCTTCTTACTAATATTCATTCTATAATACTGCCTCGCTTATATATCCGCTTTTTAAATATTTAAATTCTATTTTATTTAATTCACGTTTTAATTATTTTTTAATAAAAAGAATGAATTAAAGAAATAATAATAATAATAAAGTATTAAAAAAAGGAAGTAAGGACTTTTATAAATATAAATAAACCTCGATATTAATTAAATATAAGATATTAGTTATAACTATTATATTAAATATTGCCAGAAAACTAAGGGTACAAGAATTACAAGACGAGTTTATTCTTCTTAAGTATCTTACTATACTTTTTCATAGTATGCGAATAATACTAGAGCTTCTAGAAACTATCTAATAGATTCTCTAACCTTTCCTTAACTGCCTTTTCCGCTGCCTTCTCTATAATAGTCTTTACTATCCCGTCTTTTCCTTTATTATCCATATTCTTTTTATCTTTTACCTTTACTACTTTGCTACTTTGCCTTAATATTAGACTATTAATAATGACTCTCATTAGATCCCCGTCCAGAATTAATTTTTCTAATGCCTTGAGATTATTGGTTTCGGGGAATTAAAAAGCGTAGCTAGAATTATTAAATATATAAAAGTAGCTTTTCTCTAAGTACGGATTAAGCGATACGTATAATAGTTTCGTACTCGTAAATAAAATTTTAGTTAATTATTAATCAAGGGAATTATATAACCCTTTTAAGTCCCAGATAATATACCCGTCCTCCCAAATAATAATATAGGCGTTTCCCTTTTCCAGGGCCATATAAGTGGGAGATAGTCCATACCCTTGCATGCTTGTTTTTTTTAGCCACTGTCTTGTCTCCAAAAGAAGATTATAAGGGAGCCATTTGATACTTTTTTGCATTCTATACTAACCCAGATATTGCTATTATAGTTAGAGATGACCTTTACTTCTTCTGTTTTCTTCTCGAGGGATTTGATCCACTCCTCAAAGAGTGTGAGGTTAGAAGGTAGAAAGAGTGAAAACAGGAAGCCGGCAGTTCTGAGATCGTGCTTTTTGTGGTAGCCTATATATGCATCGGTGACTTGGCCAGTAGTAGATGTATTAGGGAACGCCACGAAGTTGAGGAACTTAATGTTCTCGGGATCGAGAATGGCAGTGATTTCAGGAGAGAAGTTGGTACTTGTCTGGTAGATGCCTGGAATATAGGCGACGAAGGATTGAGAGGGACCGAAAGTGAAGAAGGTATTTGGGCTACCGGGGGTGGCCATTTCGGTAATACGAATGACCTTATTAATAGTATTATTAGGTTCAAGAAAGCAGATTACTTGGAATGAAGTTAATAAGCCATAGAGCCTTTGAATGGGTGAGAACTCAAGTATATATATAAATCAATACTGAGTGCTGCTGGAGCCTGTACAGGGCTGAAAATGTGGCTTTGGAATACGAGTATTACATGTTATCTTTTCAAGTCCTGTTGCCCTCATATTGTGTGGCAGCGCCTTTTGCAGATGGCTTGCGTTGCAGAGGTACCCGTATGAAGTTCGTAATTGGCCGGAAAGTAAGTTTGTACTCCCCTAACTCTATCGATTTTCTGTTAATCATGCGACAGGGCGCCTTCCCAATGGCTTGCATGACGGCCTTACTTATATCAGGAATTTAGTACTGGACAGCGCAGTAGGGCGGGATTGTGCTACTAAGGCACAGGGCTGCCTAAAGATTCCTAAGGTATACGCGTAAAGAATAGTTATCTTGAGCTTCTTGTAGCTGGGTGGGATAGTATAGAATAAGGCCTTGCACAAGTTGTAGCCATTAACTACCCATTTGCTTACCGGACCTAAACTCTTTATAATTATAGAATTGCTATGCGGCTCTCGTAGCGAGGATACCGGAATAGAGAACACGGCATTGAGATTAATCTACAAATATCTCGAGCATAGTCTATATACCAGAGGATGTTCTTCTCTGCGCTTTAAGTTATATAGGCAGCCGGCTCAGGGAGCCTTTAAGAGATTGCTAGTTATGTTTTATTAGCTCCGCTTACTCGGGGGGTCGGAGTACTAAGTCGCTTCAATGTGAAATATTAAAAGAGAGGTGAAATATAGCGGCAGAAGGATTAGGTAGTATAATGCCTACTCGGTAAGTAACTACTTCAATCATTCGACATTAATCCTCGATTCCTGTATTTTACTCCTTTAGCTTCTCTACCATTCTCAGCTTGTAGCTATTCAAGAGCTGAACTATAGTTTTGAGCTCTTTACCAGAAAGTCGGTGTAGTTTTGCCCGTAAGTAATGCTCTTAGCTTGAGTACCCAGGAATAATATAGGACTTGCAGACATGGCACACGACTACTTGGTGTACCGGATTATATAAAAACATTATACTCGTATGGAAAGAGAGTTATTTTTGGGACTAAAATACTAGTATGAGAAAACTAGTAGCTTACTAAATAGTGTCTTACTAGAAACTGCCTTAGTTAGCGGCGCTCGGGCTAATTATAGTACCCGAATTTTAGTATTTTACTAAAATACTATACTCATATAATAAGTAAGGAAATAATTAAAGAGATATTATAAAAAATATAATATTATAAAAAATATAAAACTCTTAATTTATAAGACTTTAAATAATTCTAATTATATAAGAGTATTAAGCTTTATATTTAAAGAAAATAAATTAATAAATAAAATATTAGATTTAATTAATTTAATTTCTGGCTTAATATTTAATACTTTTTTTTATTAATTAATTAAAAGGTTTATTTCTTTTAACTAACTTTTAAATATAAATATAAATAATTATAAAGTAATAATAATACTTTTATATTAAATAATAGTAAGCTATAAGTAAATATTAGAATGTATTAATAAAAGTATTATAAATTCAATTTATAAACTATTTTATATTTCTTTTATTATTAATAATAATATAGAAATATAATTATAATTATTATATAAATACTAGTTATATAATTTTGATTTAATACTTCTAGCTCATGTTTCTTAAACTTAGTATTATAATTCCCAGATACCCGGTATCTGAGATGTCTCGCCAGATACCAGATGCCTTCTAGATATATGTAATACGGCTGCTTTACTAGAGAAATATACTTGAAATATACTAGAGATATTTAGAAGGCTAGCCCCTTCGGGACTAGTATACTATAGGGTATATATACTCCCTTGCAGCCTCTTATATTCTAGTTTTCCCTTCCTTAGCTTTGAATCGTCTTTATAAGAGACCTTCTATCTTGCTTTCCAAGCCCTAAATACCGTACCCGTAATAGTATTTAAAGCTCACTCTCTTTAATCCTATAGAGGATTTCAAATAAACTAATTCAGAACTATTAGTAATATAGGCGCTGCCAAGATAATAGAACCTCAGAAATACGAGTAATAGACTCCAGAATAGTAAAAGCGAAAAGCTTTAGAACCCTCAGAGAAATCAGGTATTTATATCTTTATAAATATATACTAGTAATATATTAGAAACCTTCCCGAAAAACCCGAAAATCGAAGAACCT